CAAGTGAGAAGAGCAACGAGAAAGAGAGGAGGATAGTGGCCGAGCCAGCAGACCTGATGCATGAGGAACGCGCGAATGGACGGACGGATGCACACACGCAAATTAGCGTGTACAGGCGACTGGTAAGGGGACACCCTCACGCACACGCGTAAGAGGACACCCTCGTGGGACGCGCGAGATGACACTCGCAAGGTGTTGTTCTTTACAGATAACGCACTTCCCAAACTGCCTTGTAATCTCACCTCTCCTCTTCTCCACCGCTCTCGCTATCTTTTTCGACCATCAAGTGTCAAATATATTAGATTGTTGTAAATGAAATGTCCGTTTTTAGTAATATAAATTTCTCTCCTTTGTAGTTCAGCTTTTGCTGTGCAAATGACGCTCTGTATATGTACAGTTTGAAAAGTTTTCCACGTTAATGTGTGTACATTGCCTCGCTCATAACGTGTGGTATACGTGGCTCTGTTCGCTTTTAATTCGAAATGGCAAACAAGGGAATTCGCATGATTTACTTATATAAGTTCAAACTCGGTCACAGTGCGGTGTCGAGTTAACGCGAAACACTAATATGGCATTTGGCGATCATGTGAGTAAGTGGAATACCAAGCGTTAACTTGGGAAGTTTAGGTCTGGTGATGGTCAGGTCTTGAAAATTTACCTGATCCTGAAAATTTTGGAGACCACAGTCGAAGCAGATTTACGTCTGGCAGTTCGAGAAATCTCCGAGACTGTTATTATTCAACAGCTACCGGACATCCAAAAGCTTTGAGGAACATAAAATCCCGGATTAATGGGATCTATATGAAACGCAAGAGAGACATAAGATGTTTAGAGGTCAGCTCTTCTTTGTTGCAAAGTTTGAAGTTCTCCCTCACTCTACCTTTAATCTCCTGACCTTTCAGATTTGACTACCACATGTCTAAGAACCTCGACGGCCTTTTGAGGAAAAAAGTTTTCAAAAATGTGAAGCCGACGCAAAAAGAGCATTCAACGAATTTATTATCTTTTATTGTTTATTATCTCTCGTTCTTCCGGTTTCTCTGAGAAAGACGCTAATTTAAGGCGCTTGTATTGTGTACCGAAGGCGGATGGAAACTATTTCGATCAATAAAGTATGTTTCAAGTTTACGTCACAAAAGTCCAAATTCAAAATCTATAAACGGCAATTTCATTCGCAACAACCCAACCCTTCATTTCGAGCACGGACAGTGCAACTCGGGGCATCTATGAAAAAAAAAAAAAAAAAAACGGACCCGTGATGTGTATACTTGCGTACGTCTCACCACACAAAAACCACGCGTACACACATACACACATGCACTCGCGTGAGCTGCACCAACATCTTTATATGTCGATAGAGCGCATTGCGAGGCGGGAACGCTAATCCTAAACGCGTGACGTACATACAAACACTCATACATACACAGCGCGCGCACGCACGACACACACATACACACAGTAGCGAGACAGCCGTGGCTCGATTATGGGTGCGCGCGCGCGTCCAATGCGAAACAATGCACACGAGCAGGAGAGTCGAGAGAGCGTGTAAAGTTTACAAGCAGCAGATCGCCGAAGGGCGAGAGGCAGAGACGAGAAATGTACACGGTCACTCCAGAAAATCGGTGGTGATCGCACGAGCAACCCGAGGACGCAGAGCGGGCGCGCGGGGCAGAGGGAGGAAAAGGGAACAGCGTTAATGTCCGGTAGCGCTTTGCTTCACGTTCGCCGCGCGCTTTAGCCTCTCCTTATCTATCTCTTTTCTTCTTTTCGCCGTCTCGCGCATTCCCCTCCCCCCCTCCTTCTCCTCCTCCTCCTCCTCCCTTATCCCTCATCAAAACTCGGTCTTTAAAAACGCGGCGAAGGCAGGGAAGACGGCACGAACGGGACGCGAATGAGAGAGCTCGCGAAAAGAGTTGCAAACATGGAGAGTTTACTCACCCTCGTAACAGCTCCACCGACGAGTTCGCCTGTCGAATTCTTCATCCCAACGGATCCGACGTAGAATCACTCCCGCAGGCGGTTCGGAACACTCGTCATAGGTATCAGGGAAATCCTAGACGACCATGAGAGAGTTGCGAATACGCGACGGGAGAAGGCGGACGGGAGGTGGGAAGAGAAGAAAGAAAGACAGAAAAGGAGGGTGGGTGGGAAGGAGAGAGAGATCTTACGCGAGTGCACGCAACGGGTCCGAGCTTGGAGCCGCGGCCGACGACGATCGTGCCGTCGCTCGTCTCACACTCCTCGGTGTCCACTCACACGCGCACACTCACTCCGTCGACGCGACTCGGGCCTGAGGCGCATCTATCCGCGTTACACGACGATCCACCGCGTCCGGGTTCACATGCAAACATACTCACGCCCGCCGCGGAACCGTGTCACTTCGTAACCGCGAGAGAATTCTGTTTACATTCGACCAGGCCCGTCCATGGTGCTCACAGTCTGATACGCGCATTCTGGGTAAAATACGCACGTATGCGCGATCAATCGCCAGTGGTGCCAACCTAAAAGCGACATTGGCGACGCAGAACGACGGAAGATGGCGCCGACGCGCTGTCAGAGAATCGCAAACCTTCTCGAGCTATTCGTCGCGCAACACGCACCTCTGTCTCGCCGCGGGATCGTCCAGGTACATCTTGCCACGCGTCTTCGCTTTCCTCGCCGCGTGCGCGATTTCCCGCGAGTCACCGAGCGCGCAGAACGGACGAGAGAAAGATAGAGAGATGAACGGAGAGAGAGAATCTCTTCGCGCGGACTCACGCGTTATCGCAAGCACGCCGATCGGCGACTGACGTCAAGTCGATACGTCAAGCGTCGCGTTCTCGGAAATGGAGGCGCAGCTTGTCGCGCGAGCCGCCAGGCGGCTGCCGCGGCGCCATTTTCAAAACCCAACCCTCTCGGCAGACGAGAGAATCTCGCGAGAGACCTCTGATATTTCTTGTCGTGACTTCAAAAGCCATTCCTCATGTACAAGTGAAAATATTCGGTCCGTTTTCAGTCGTCCCCTCCGTTTCCAGTGAACGCCGACTGAAAGTAATGTTGCATCAATGTTATAGGCTCATATCAATAGCCGTTGCTATTGAAACTTGCTTCGGCTGAGATAAGCTGGTGGCACATAGAAAAATTTAAGCAGTAAACAAATTTTTCTTACGGTCCAAGAATCAAGAAGATTGTGATTGGTCAATTTGCTTACTACTTACGTCTTAAGCTGTGTGCCACGGCCCATACTCATGTTTAAGTTTAGAATTAGATGTGAGTTTTTCAGTGGAATCGCAAATACAATGTCACATGTATCATCGTTTCAACTGGAGAACTCAGATCTAGCTCTAAAGTGAAATCTGAGTATATCACGCGAGGTGAGTTTCAAGTAACGACTATTAATACAAGGCCGTGGACTCGTATTAATAGCCGTTGGTTGAAATCTGTTTCAGGTGAAAGATTTGAATTTAGAGTCAGATGCGCGAGCTTTTCAACTGAATTTGCAAATGCAACATCGTGTATTCGTGTGATTCAAATCTCATTTTAAATTCAGACTCCGAGTATTTCACGTGAACAAGCTTCAAGTAACGACTATTAACACGGGCTCCAATTTCTTACTTAACAATAAAAGTGCGAAAATGTGTGCAACGATGCATCGCAGAGTGGGGAATTGCAACACTGGGTGCGTTCAGAAGACACAACTGTTGCACAACAGTTGAGTAATTAGTCTAAAGTAATTGGTCTAAAGTTAGGGATCCTACAGTAAGGACCAATAATCACTGACCGCTCACTGATCAGCTATGTTTTCTGAACGCAGCCATTGACGCAATGTCGCTGTCAGCTGACGTATTTTGGGTTGCTACTTTATAAAAATGTATTTTACATTAATTACCGCATAGTTATCGTTTCGTGTATCCGCGACCTGGAAGCTCCGTGTTCCCGGGATCATTATGCCTGTTGCACTTCAAGGATCGCGTATTCTTACCCTAATTGTGAATAATCGTGAGCCGACAACATACGGTCATTCACGCGCACGTGGAACGAACGCGCGATCACACCGCTGAAAAATCCGAGGAAAACACGCGCTTATTAGCAACGGATCGTTTACGAGGAAATCGACAATGATCGATGACGAGTGCGCGTGTTTCGAGAAACGTGAGCGCCGTTGATTGACAGTACTGCCAACGTAGCAATTGAGGCTCCGTTCTTCGGAGCGCGCGATTAAACGGAAAGATCGAACAAGCGGATTTTGCGGAACTGGCCGATCGTGAATGAGCGTATCGATAAGGATCGATAACCTTATTCATCGTTACGTTTGCGGGAAGTACGCGGTTGTGCATGTGTCGTGTGCGTGTGAATGGAATGCGGAAGTGTCGCGTAGGCTAACTAGATCGTCGGCTGACGACAGGCCAGTTCTCGAAAAATCGAAAGGTCGCTCGCGTCGACTCGCCGCGCGCCATTTTTAAAGAGCGCACGGATGTCTCTTCCGCGCGTTCGCGCACGACGTTGTCCCTTCACGCGAATACGCGTGCATCACGGAATAAAACATAACATTCCACGACGGTCTTCCGCTTTTATTTAGTTAATTAAATTGACCCTGAGTTCACAATGCGCGACGCCTCTGCGATAAGAGATTTTACAACGGAGATAATTGTCGCACGATAATCTCAGCTTTCAGTGTCGACGGATAATAGGCGTTGAAGGCGCGAGACTTCTCGCGCTTGTCAAGGACTTGTCGATTATCAAAGATTTCACTTATCGTAGCTTGTCAAAGATTTACTTATCGTAAGTAGCTCGTCAAAGATTCTATCTTATCAAAGATTTGTTATCGTATTTGTTGATATTCCATCGCAGAATCACTTGTGCTGAACGCGCGTGCAACGCGAAAGCTTTGTCGTAATATTCTTTACGTTGTGAAATTAAATGATTAGCTGTCGGAATCGATCGTCGGATGCGCAATTATGCATTTGCAGAATAGAGAGCACAACACGCTTCTCTTCTCCCTTTCTCTCGGTTTATCTCTGTGGTCTTTTAATGTAGCATTTATTATCTCAGTATATTTCTCAACAACAATATAATAATGGTAGTATATTATATTCTTAGCAACAATATCAGTTTCTTTCTCTGGCTTTATCTCGGATCATTCAACGACAATTACTCATAAGGTGTAACGGACACATACATAGAATTCGGTTTACACGTTCGGGGTGTGTTCACAATAAATATACGAAGCTCCAAGAGTACGAAGAGTCAGGCGTTGGATCAGATCGAATCAGCGAAATCATCATCAGTCGAACGGTTAATTAACTTGCCGTACGCGTAGGTGCGTGAAATCCAACGTGCGTAATCGGCCGCGCTGTTTCTTTACTACTCGAGACGCGACACACGATATTCGTGGAATAACGCGAAAACGCGTTTTCCAGCACGCGTTCCTTCTTTTTTTTCCTCCCTCCCAAGCGCTAACCACGCTAAATCACGCCATCGCTTCGAGAAGCTGCCCGAGTTATGTGTTGTAGTAGCGTTGAAAAAAGAAGAGAAGAATGACAATACGTATACCGTGTGGCTGGGGGGCTTTGGCAAGAGAGCGAGCAAAACGAGTAGTAAAGAAAACTCGGATTACTCGGCGAGTGAACTCGAGTCGATAAAATCGCGATTGACATTACATTATTGCTTCTTACATTAGCCTTACAAATTATCAACATTATCCTCTCAAAAAACAAGTATATATACATTCATACCAAAACTTACGATATCCTACATAATTTACAAATTCTGTATATATATATATATATATATATATATATATATATATATATATAATTATAAAAAATAAACGCGATGATTATAAAATGGGTATTGTGTGATTCCAGTTTTAAATGCGTTTGCTGCTGCTTATCACTCATGCGAATCGCTCGTTTTGAACAACATACGACTATTCGCTCGCGCGCCTTCACATACACCTGTGTATAATATAACACCGGCGCTTTTTCTCTCTCTTACTTCAATTCTGAGATCTAAAAAATACAATCTGCTTTTACCCTTCCCCTTTTCGTCGCTTGTTTCCCTTACATATTAGTACACACACAACGTGCCGAACAACACTCCCACATTATCTTACTATTTTACAAGTAAAAAAATATATATATATATATTTATTTACGCTATTCTTTCAAACGTGTAACGTTCATAAATATCGAAAAGAGACACAGGAAGAGTGAATAAGAAAAATTTCTGTCTAATTCTTCGTCCTCCGTCTGAACTTCCGCTCGCTCGTCGTCCACCTCTCATCAGTAGAAACATCACCTTGTAATCGCGGGCAAACGAACAATAGTCGCCCCCATAGTGTGTACGTTATGTGTGTGTGTGTGTGTGTGTGTATGTGTGTGTGTGTGTGTGAGAGAGAGAGGTCGGTTAAGTAATTATTACAATAATAAACTCTCTTTCGTAATTATCTTTCACCACTCAAAAAACAAAGCGGCTGATAAGTGCATCTGCTTCTTTGGTTGCGTGAGTCCTTAGTTACTTTAATTAATGACATACATATACATCTCGTATAAATGGGAATAAATATTCAGAGAGAGAAGAAACAAAAAAAAAACAAAAAAGGAAGAATCAGACATCGATAGAATCTCCGAGTGTTCACAGTAAGTCCAGAGTAACGTGTAGAGTCGTTATGGTTGATTAGTATTTTTTACAATTGCTAGTTCTCTCAGATCTTTTTACGCGATATCGAAAAGCGTAACTATTTCATCGTCAAGGCCACAATCATGTCGCTATTTAAGAGGAAAAATGTGTTCACGGAGACAGTGGTGTTCCACGATAGAAGCCTAGAATTCCGAAGAGCCTACGCCTTTTGATAAACGTTAATTGAGAAGTGCAGACGAAATATAAATTCGATATAATTACACAAATTGCCAGTCTACAATATCACTTCACAGCGTATGAGGCATACAGCTGCGCCTGTCGTCTGTACGTGATAAAACGCACCGAGCTACGAGATTCTTTATGCGCACTAATGCTATTCGCATCAGCAGCGTAACGTAATTATTCGTTACTTCACGTCGCTGACGCTCGTTTTCTCTTCCTCTTTTTTTTTTTTTACATATTTTCAACGTGTCGCTTTACGCTAGTACGAGTCATGTATGATTTACAATCGTTCGCGTTTACATAAATTAAGGATTTGTTTCTCTCGCAAAACTACAACAGTCTAACGCTTAAAATATCGCTGTCGCGTATAAATGCGTCGAGGATTACTTTCTCCTCGTGTGTGTATGTATGTGTATGTGTGTGTGTGTGTGTGTGTGTGTGTGAGAAATCAGTTTCAATCTTACGAAATATATCAACTTATGTCTCATTATATGTATATATACGTATATGTATATGTGTATGTATACTCCATTCGAGAAATGCAACGAACGCATCTCGCCGAAAGCGCTCGCTATAAATATCTGTTTTTGGATGAACAGCAGTTCAGTGAAATGGAAAATCGAACTTTCTGACGTTTTTTGGGGGGCACACCCCTCTCGGGTAATTTCGATAAATGCCTGCGCGGGGTGCCCTCATCGTTCGGTCGAATACTTATTTGGCTGATCGTGAGATTACTCTACAACGAATTTCAATGATGGTTTTACAATCACTCTCTCGAAGGCTGCGACATTTACTTAGTAAATTTCGTTATTGCATATATGGAACACGCGCAACAAGGCACAATACTTTCAAAGCTATCACACGTGTTAGGATAAATTACGTTTAACTTTGCGATATTAGCTCGATAATAAAAGGGAAGAACTAAGGGGAGAAACTATAGGTTAGCACCAGCCTGATTCTTGTTAGAATGAGCAAGTACAATTGTTCCTATATGTATTAGAACTTTCGCAAGCTGCACAATGATAGCTGCGTTAGAAAAAAAGGGCCAAAAAAAAAAAGAAAAAGAAACGTCATCTGCCTGTTCCCTCTTCAAATATTCGCTCTCTGATTGGAGAACGTCTAATCACGACTGTTTATGTACAGCGACACGAGCAATAATTGCGGTAAAAACTTCTCATCGCCATTGGGTATCGGTAGTAGTTATCTTCACAAGTGGATCACTTTTTTTTGGTGTTATCGATTTGAATTCAGTGCTTTATCTAAACGCGAAGGCAAGTACAAATACATTGACCGGCGGTGAGTGCACATTTGCGATACGATTCGAACCGCCCATTGTTACGTACGTCGCCGAAAGCGAAACGGAACGTATCGCGCAACTAGTGCTGGTTGCAAAAATCAATTGTGTGTACAATTTTCACAAGTAACGTATACTAGAGTTCATCCTTCTACCGAGTAAAAGACTGTATAAGAGACTTTACTAGATATCATACAATATAACACACATTCTCCTTTCGTTATGAAACATCTAGATTAATATTCCCGCCCTATAAAGTCGACACAGCAACGTAAAAGTCTTTCTGAGATTCTTTCTTTCATATTGTCTCTTATTTTCTCTTCTCCTCACTTAGCGTAGTATCTAACGTTTTTTTTTTTTTTTTCTAAATATCCTGAAGTTTTGACTTTCAGTTCATCAAAGAGACTCTATACAAGTGCTGGTGTTAGAATTAGTATCGTCAAAAAGGGACAGTGGGGGTGGAAGTGTCGTTAATTTAAGATTAATATGTTATTATCAAAAAGGTTAATTCTATATGTTCATATCGTAGAGATGTGGAGGAGCACCTACCACTGAAGGCATTTGGCAGCCACGTCGTACTAACAGACGAACAGATGGTCCACCGTTACGTATAATCTCAATCGCTTCCGTATGCGTCATATTTTTGGTGTTGATACCATTTATTTCAATTATCTGATCTCCAACCTGAAAACGACCAACAACTGCATGTAACGCGACAACATAATTAACAGCAGAGCTTACGATATGTTTGTCTAACAACATGCATTACAATCAAACTATATTGAGTTGAATTTTACTGCTTATCGAAACACAACTCACTCTAAGACGGTTATCGATTGACGCCGGGCCGTTCTCGGCAATTTGCAAGACGAACAACGGCATATTTTGAAATTCGCGACCACCGCGAATGCTGAAGCCGAAACCTCGGGTGCCCCGAGTTAGCTCTACAGCATGATACTGACCCCCATCTCCATCTCCTGTCGGTTCATCCTGAGAGGAAGAGACCAACGTCTTTATGATCGTCACAGTGGATTGAGGAAGCAAGAAGCGCTCTTCACGCGACTCGCCTATTAAATTGTGTAGATTTACGCGCGAAGAACATACCTTTTGGGAAAGAGACGTGTTGCTGCAGCAATCATCGAGCGGATACCCAATCGTCAGTGTGACGGAATAACCGGAATCCTTGATTAAGTTGACTATATCCTTATGGCATACATTCGTGATGTCTATGTGATTGACAGCTAAAATGTGATCCCCAACGTTCAGTCTGCCGCATCTCTCGGCGGGCGAGCCCTCGATTATCCTGCCGATCGTAGAGCCAGCTTTGTTGACGGACGAGATGATCACGAAGCCGAATCCTTCGTTCTCCATTCGCGTGACGGTAACGTCGTATGGATACTGCATATTCATCTGCCGGCCGTAAGAGGATTGTAGATTCTCCTGGAGGTGCTCCTGCGTGTTGATCCGACGTCGTATCCCCAGAGTGACTCGGCCATTTTGAGCCGCCGCGATCATTAGCTGCACCACGTGATGATGGGAAGAATTCATAACGCTTTCGCCGTCGACAGACATGATCAGATCGCCGGTGTTCAACCTGTTATCGAGATCGGCGGCTCCACCGGGGACGATGTGACCCACTGAGACCTGCTGACCACGATATTATTAACGTTTGTGTTTTCGTCATTCATTACTTTAATCACGCGATCACATTGAAACAACGTTGTTAAAACTCTTATATATTAATGCAGATCATGGAAACCAACCTGAGAGCCTTCCTCTGTGCCGCCTACTATTCTAAATCCAAACCCGGTGTCTTGTCTGACTAAAGTCACCAGAGTTTCTATCCATTCTATGTCGGGTACCATTGGACAGACCAATTCATTCGTGTATTGCGGATACCTTGAATTAATATTAACGAATTTCACGATACCTTATATTTACAATTTTTTTAGATACATTTGGTCCGTTTGATGATTTTATCGCGTAACAATTCGTGAAATTTCCAAGAAAATGAAAATAATCTGACGAACTGACGAGAATTTTTTGTATTATATATTGGATCGATGAAAAAACGGGCATACCGAGGTATGGAACTGGAATGTGGTTGTTCGTGCTCGAAACTGGTGGTCTCCTTCCGCTTGTCCCAAATTTCACCAGTGTCGACGTTTTGTTCCTGCCCCATGGAGTACGCGTTGTAGTCCTCGTTATATTGGGAATGCGACTGTACCGCGTAGAGATCCTTGTAATAGTCGGAGTGCAAGCACCCGCCATTCTGCTTGAGCATATTGTCATGGTGGGAGATGTCGATGGAATACATGTCATTGTTGATGTTCAGTTTGTCGTTCGTCGACCAATCTCGCTTTGGCACGTTCCTGACGGAATCCTCGTCCAGATTCATCATCGCCACGAAATTGTCCGCCAAGTTCGTGATGTTGGCCTTGTAAGGGTCCGAGTAATACATCCCATGTGCATACTCGGAGTACTTGTAATGGCTGTCCAGCGGATTCAGCTCGTTCTCGCTCTGCATTTCGTTCCAGTTCGTCCTGCTGGTGCTGGTCGGTGATTTGGAGCGATTTCGTGTGTCGATCAACGGCGTCTTCGGCCGGCTTGGTATGACGGTCTTCGACTGAGTGCTGTAAATATCGGCGGTGGGCGTTTTACTCCTGAAGAAGTCCTGCGTGTTTGTTTCCTTCTTCTCCTTCGACTTGGTCGTCGTACGTTGGACGTGTATCAATGCTTCTTCGGTGCGCGGGCAATCTTTTAACACTTGCACCACTTCCGAGTGACACATGTTTCTCACGTTGATGTCGTTTATATTGACCAAAATGTCGCCCTCCATCAAGTTCTTGCAACGCTGACGATCCAGGATCTTTTTCACTTTCTGACCGTGAGCGGAGTCTGCTATAGTAAATCCGAATCCCATCGCGCCCTTCACAATAGCGATGCTGAGAAACTCCGGCTTGGAAGACACTGGCGAGTCCTTGCAGTCGTTCAGGTCGCTGCTCTCCGACAGAAGTATGTCTGTGCTGCTGGGCCTCTTGATCGTGTTGATCTTGTCCGAGATACAGAGATCGGGCATCGAGTTGACAGACGTCGTGGCGAGATTCTCGCCGTTCTGAAGACTGTGCACCGGCAAAAATGTGGAATCCAGGAAGTTGTAGCGTCCATTAGGTTGCAGAGTAGATTCCAAGTCCATGTATAGCGCGGGATCTTCTGTCGGAAGATTTCTCGAAATTAGTGGCTAATTAACCTCGCGAGAGAACCTCGCCAGCTCTTATCGGTTTTCTTTACCTGGCGCGTTAACGGCAATCGTGGTTACGACCTCTGTATTAGGGTCATTGGGATCAAAGGGCAACGTATAGCCTCGGCATACTTCCAAAGTCACCGTCTCGCCGCTGCCAATTGACTTGAATACATTTACCATTTCATTATGCGTGAATCCTAGTACGCAGGTATCATTAACGTACACCAACACATCGCCTGAAAATAAATACAATCGTGTAGACGAGCGGAAACGGGGAGTGAATCACCGGCATGAGAATTAGCGGTGCTTAGCCGGATAAATTACCGGTTTGTAGCTTCCCATCCAGCCAGGCTGGACCGTTTGGCACGACGCTTTTAATTTGGAGAAACTCCTCCACGGCGTCATCGCCGCCGACAATGGTGAATCCCAAGCCCCTTGAACTCTTGATCAAGGTGGTGCGTATCCTCTGACCTTTCAGCTTGTCGGGATTTCTAGTGAAGTTGGGGCTCTTCCTCTCGATTAAGCTCTGCTGCGCCCTTTTCGCTTGCAACACCGGATTCTCGTATTGTGTCCTACGGTTCACATGGTCGATGAAATATGTGCCGTAGAGGGTGTCGTCGATCTTCTCCCAGCCGTAGGGCAACTCGTCGTCGAGGCATTCCTCCAAGGATCTCTTTTGAAATTTCGACAAACGCGGGTCTAGCCAGTGAGACGTGCCTGTGTTGTGGCTGTAACGTACGTTTACGAGTCAAGAAAACTAATGATTTATAACGCAGGCTGAAACATGCGATCCTTCTTTGGATCGGATATCCATTACACAACAACGTTAATAATTAATTCATGACAAACAGCCAGGACTTATCGGAATCGTCGGTCAAGATTATGACTCGCGTCATTTTCTTAGCTGAGACAAGTATTTCCAGTTTGTTTGACGAGTGTGCATGCGTATTCGCTGCATACTTACTCTATGAAATAAACTTCTCCCGTGTCCGTGTATGCCTTCTCCCAGTTGGGCGGCAACGGACCCAATTGGTCCTCCGTGGCTGGATTGCGATTTCGAGCGCCTTGTTCCTGATCTGAAACTCTTGTACTCTGTTCTGATCCCGTATTGTACAAGTACGTTGGTGGAATTCGGTGGCTTCCCCCGTCGTTACCAGCAATAGTTAATATTTCCTTATCCAGACTCTCTCCTTTTCAATTGAAACGTACACGTAAGATACTTTGCGACTTATTAATCAGATATTTATGTAATAAAATATATTTCTTAGCATATAAGCTTAAATAATAAAAATACACACACACACACACATATACACATATAATAAAATATAACTGTTTCCTCACCATCGTTAGGATTGTCGATAGATGCTGTGTCGTCAGTTTTTGTAGCCATTTTGAAGTCCTCACGTTCGTTTTAAAACCCTAATAAATCGGGCACAAAGTTATCATATACACCGCAATGCACAACGGATATTCCATGCGATGAGGATGAAGTAAATTAAGAAATTAAAACTTTTCTCAAAGCGTACTTGCAAAAAACTCATCAAGACCGGGATATCTTAGGGATCCGGCATAGATCAGCGCGATAGAATACCTCTTAACTTAATAATAACAATAAAGATACTCGCTATTATGCTCTTCCGAGCAGTAATTGCGTGCACGATACAAACAATCAAGAGAGTACGCGGAACACTCGTCCGGACTCGTCGTCGTGTAATCAAGAAAAAGACTCATCATTACAAGCTGGCAGCACAGTGCTGTGCACACGCGTGAAGTATCGGGTCGCACGCGTCACGGACGATGATCCTTTTCAGCGAGCACCGGTTTTGACAGTTTCCGAAAGAAACAAAAGGTAAAATGCACGAAGGTACGAAGGGAAAAGTGGCTGAAAAGGGTATTCTCCATTTTTCAGTCGTGATTCATGCCGCATTGTCTGTATTTAAAACAGGTAATCTCGGAACAGGTGGTGGTCGCAGTATGGGAAGGATCAAAAGGAACAAAGTGGAAAAAATAAAACGGAAAGAAGACACAAAGTGCAGCTGACTAGACGGATCTACGAAATCTGTTCAAACTTCAATTTCTTATTCCTCTCTTTAGTTTCTTGTACATTTCGTAGGGAGAAAGAGAGAGAGAGAAGAAAGAAGCGAGATGCAGAGAGTGCGAATGAAAAGGAACGGATTTAAAATCCGCGCTATATTCGGACGAGTCTGGAACATGTGCGATCATCCGGAGCCGACTTCGTCGACGCGACGGCCGCCGCACGCGTCTGGACGGACAGGTGTCCGCGGGCGCAATTACATAAAGCGAGGAAAGGAACGCGACCGCGGCCGATAGGGAGGAAGAGGGAGATAAGAGGAGAGGGTCAGAAAGAAAAAAAGAGATAGAAAGAGAGAGCGCGCGCGCGAGAGAGAGAGAGAGACGCACGAGGCACAGCGGGCGGGCCGCGCGGACGTGAATGCATTCTTACGAATGCATTCACCCGTACGCGGAGCACGCGAGCGTGCCGCTCACATATGATGCGCCGCATCATTAGGTCCAGCCTTACGTCTTGGCCGCGCGTCCGTGCACTTTCTTCATTTCGAGTAAATTGGCATTGTATGTTACGGAGAGGAATAGAGAGATATATATATATAGAGAGAGAGAGAGAGAGAGAGAAAGGGAGAGAGAGTGAGTGAGAAAGAGATGGATAGAAATAGATAGGGCGAGACCGAGCGAAGGAAAGACGAAGAAGGGAAAGGAACGAGGTTGCGTACGAAGTGTAGCTGAAACGAATAGATTCAATATAGGCGTGTTCGCTTTGCCTGCATATATTCTCCCGTACTTCCAGACGTATCTTCAAACTGCGGGAGTAAAGAGCGACGAGATACGACGCTAATAAAAACGAGAAGATAAAACTGTCCGTCCCGATTACTGTGTTTCCTCGTCGTTCGCATGAACGAAGAGTGAAGTATAGGCGTGCTTTCAAAACCCGTAAGGTGGAAAAATCGCGGATAAAACACGAACATTCTCTCGCACGTTTAACGTTTAAAGCGAACTCGGCGCTGATAATCTCTCAGGGAAGAGAAGAGAGAGAGAGAGAGAGAGAGAGAGAGAGAGAGAGAGAGAGAGAGAGAGAG